TTTGCCTCTTTTTATATCACGGTTTTAAAGACAGACAATTTCAAGTCCGAGTGGGTTCAACCCTGTCTGACCATTACAATCAGGATCAGGGTGTCCCTCAAGGCAGTATTTTGTCTGTCACTTTATTTAGTATCAAGATCAACAGTTTATCCAAGGTTTTAAACGATTCAATTGATGGATCGCTTTTTGTGGATGATTTTAATATTTCTTGTCGTGGTAAAAATATGCATACCATTGAACGGCAGTTGCAGTTGTGTTTAAATAAAATAAATAAATGGTGTCTTGAAAACGGCTTTAAATTTTCCAAGTCCAAAACTAATTGTCTACACTTTTGTAGAAAATATAAGCCGCATAAAGACCCTGAACTATCTTTAAATGGCACTCCCATCAAAGTTGTGAAGGAGGCCAAGTTCTTGGGTCTAATCTTTGACTCTCATTTAACCTTTTGCCGCATATTAAATCCTTAAAGCTAAATGCCTGAAGGCGCTTGATTTGTTGAAAGTTGTTTCCAACTCAAAGTGGGGAGGAGATCAAGCTACCCTCCTCCACCTATATCGCTCATTGGTCCGCTCGAAACTCGATTATGGCTCCATCGTATATGGTGGAGCCTGCAAAAGCAACCTAAAACTACTTGATTCTGTCCACCACCAAGGCCTAAGACTTTGTCTTGGGTCTTTTAGAACCTCTCCTGTTGACAGTCTTTACGTCGAGGCAGATGAACCTTCTCTTAACCAACGCCGTATAAAATTATCTTTACAATATATTACGAAATTATATTCTAACGAGACTAATCCTGCATTTCACTGTGTCTTTAATCCCTTTATGAGGATTTGTATAACAAAAACTTTCTCTTGTTCCGCCTCTTGGGCTCAGAATTAAGCCATTTATTGCTGCTTCCGGCATTGAGCTGGAAAATATAGCTCCTTCCCGTCTTCTTTCTTCTCCTCCTTGGCAATTGGTTAGGCCACAAGTTGACCTAACATTAACTACATTTAAAAATCAGAAACAAATGAATTACAGTATAAACAAAATTTAGTCAATTAAGAAATAAATATAATACATACAAATCCTTGTTACAGATGGGTCCAAGGATGGTGGCGCAGTGGCATGTGCCACTGTCGTTGGATCAGAACAATATCTTCTAGAATACCCGATAACAGCTCTATATTTACAGCAGAAGCAAACGCCATATTAACGGCTCTTAAATATATTCAACGACATCCTAAACATAAACAGTACATAATCTTTTCCGATTCCCTTTCATGTCTTCAGGCTATTAAAAATATTTCTTGTAAACATCCACTTTTATTAGACATTATTGAATTGTATAATGAGCTTGCTACTGGCCAGTGCGACATCGTCTTTTGTTGGTTACCCAGCCACGTTGGCATTTCTGGGAATACCATGGCTGATCTTGCTGCCAAGGCAGCACTCAACAAATCTGTGACACCACTTCTTATTCCATACTCTGATTATAAAGCTGGCATTAGAACTTACATCCGTGATCTGATGCAGATACATGCAATAAAACCCTATATTGGTTACACCTACTTGGGTTGTCAGTCCAGATTTGAAGAGGTCATTATGCGAAGATGTCGCATTGGCCATACCAGATATACTCATGAATATTTATTGAAAGGCGAAGATCCTCCGTTTTGTATCCCTTGTGATGAAAGGATCACAGTCAAGCATGTCTTGCTTGACTGCATTGAATATTCCATCACAAGGGATAAGTATTTTAATGTCAAAACATTGAAGGATCTTTTTAATAATGTTAGTTCTCATTTAGTTATTGCCTTTTTAAAAGAATTAGATTTATTAACTGATTTGTAAATAGATAAATATTTTATTATTGGTAATTTAAATTAGTCACTGAGATTGTTAGTGGCTGTACCCTCAAAGGGGGTTGACGTAGCGTAAAATTATTGTCCTCCTGAGAGGGTACGTAAGTCCCAAAACTTTCAAAGTAAAATATAAATTATCACATTTTAAACGTAGTATTTTTGTTATTTTAACTGTTGGCTACATTTTCCTACAATCGCCAGCGGCTGAAGGGATGGTGTAAATCCAGCTAGGATCCATGCGGGTAGCAAAAGTAATGTAAGTCCCCATGGCTCTAGCATGGTGATCTACCTTCAGTTGGTGGCGATCTATAGCCCATTTTATATTGTGTTGTCCCCTATAGTTAAAATGTTTTAGATTCAATTACTAGTTTTACATATATATCTGTGATTATCTAGTTATTTTACTGTCCTTCGTCGGCAGAATTTTATAATTTCACTTAAATTGTTGATATATTTATAACTTGCTTTAGTCACGATATGGCTGAAATATTGCCGATGTGACTTTAAATCTTAACTCACTCACTCACTCGCACATGTCACACTACGCAAATTAATCAAAAGGCGCTCGTACAGTGAGAACTACCTGGACGTTCATTAATTGCTGTGACATTAACAATGTTTACCCTGTTGCTGAATGCGGACCCATTCCACAAGGATGCAGCCAAAGGGGAGGTGACGTTTTCACATCTTCACTTTCAGTGGCGTGATTCTATGTTAATACGTCGCCATCGGAAGCAGCAATGGCAATGAATCTTTGCAGATCTAATGGCAGTGATAATAAAGCATCAACACGTCCACAAAATATATCACCAGGCCCCAAAAGGTCTTAAATCCTGGTGGCGGTGGGGTAGGCTAGTGGATAAAGTGTTTACTCTCCACGCCGAAGACCCGGGTTCGATTCCCCACATGGGTACAATGTGTGAAGCCCATTTCTGGGCATCGATCTACGCAGTTGGGGACGTCAAAGGCAACCTCCAGCCTTTCCTGAACATTGTCACATCGTCCAACGAGTGACCAAGCGTATGGGCACGACCCACAACTCATCTCAAAGATGTTTTTAATACACACCCATTCATCGATGAATATTTACACCCTAACAATACAGCACCAACATGTCCTGTTTATTATTGTCATCTCACACAGTTTGCTATCCATCTTTTACCATCATTTGATTTTTTAAAGTGATCATTTTCATTTCATTTTCATTTTCAGTATCCCCTATTTTTCTACACCATGTATTTCTGGACTGCTGATATTCATGGAAAGAAGTATAAGGCCCATAAGTATGTCATGGCGCTTCGCGAGACCTTAGTACTTCCGGTGACAAACAACGTTTCATACCTTTTCGACAGTAAGGAACCCATACTCCTTGCAGGAATAACAAATTTCCGATCTAACCATCCCCAAATTAGCCTTCGATTACGACTGTCAGCAGCTGTGACAGCCACACATGATTATATGGTCTAGTAAAGTCATATTTGGGACAAGAATATCTTGAATATACGCTTGTCACCGGAAATCTGGTACCGGAAGTTAGCTGTGCCCAAATGGAGCCAAGAACCAGCTTAGTACCGGACGTAGCGCCTCGCGAGACTTGCAGGCCCTATCACTAAGACAAGCCATCCGGCAATGATGTTCGTGAAGCCAACTGGTTAGGTTCCGATCATGCAGACCAAGAAACAAAATATCCAGAAAGTCCTCAGCAAATCTTGATTCCTTCCGTTTTCCTTATTAAGGAGATTTTCCGGGCTCATCTGTATTGAGTATTGGGTATCATAAATCTTCATTTCAGAATAAAATGTCAGTCAACCGTTCGGCGTAATCTGCGGCCAATCCAAGGGATTTTACGACGGCTCTCTGACCAGTGTTTATAATGTGAATATCCGGTGAAAACACGCAGGTTCCTACGTTCCAGGAAAAACAAAGTAATGTATTGACGCCTGATACTTGTCACGTTTCTGAACAATAACAGCGAGTGAGCAGGGTTTCATGCTGCTTTGAACCTGAACATGAAAGCTACAAAACCCCTTCCACATCCATAAATAACCTCTGATTGAAGCGGAATCAACTGTACAATTTGGACAGTATAACATGTGTGTGTTTATGTATCACTATCAAATACTGATGATACCTGGGCCTAGATTTTCGAATCTCTCCTAGCGCTAATATAGTTGTAATTGCCATACATTAACATTAACTTACGACTATCTTAGCGCTAAGAGAGCTTCGAAAATCTAGGCCCAAGAGTCTGCGAAAAGGTGAGCCTGTCTTGATAATCCGGTCGCAAAGGCCGGTCTACTTATAATAAAAACCTGAACTGTACAGCAGAATAAAACACCAGGAACGTATATGGTACAAGCCAAAATAGGAAATTGCGCAAAACATAATTTTTATCGCAGATGCGCCAAATTTGGAAGTATATTCAACATGTCTACCAAACAAAACTTTCGGTAAGCTTTATTGAGGTAATGATCAAATTTCAAAGCAAGAGTTATTTAACGCTCTTTCAAATAGTGATGGAAAGACCATGATCGATTATGCCTGAAAAGTTGTGAGATATGAAAACCAAAGACTGGAGCTGTTGGAATATGTCTTTTTTTAAAGTTGAAATGATCTTCTTTTCATACAGTCTTGTGGAGACGTGTACATTTACTACTTCAACTTGGGTAAATCAGTGGACAGGACGGCTATTTGATTGTTGTTAAACGATAACAGATCATCGATATCCCTTAATCTTAATTTGAACAGCTTGGTCAAATGATATATTAAGGCGTCGTTTATATATATGTGGATATCGGTCTCTTCATCCCGTCAGAAATACAAGGTCGTGGTTTGAATCCCAGATTCGCCCTGTGTATATTTCTAGATTTGACAGCACCACATCCTAGCACAGCGGCTATAAACCAATTTACTTACCCCATATTACCAACTATGATTTTTTAATTAATCAACACAATTATGCAGTTTATTTTTTCGATATACCAGTAATTATATTATAAAATGTTCCCAAAAGTAATCGAGGGATTTTCGAACTGGCCAGGCTACCTTCCCCACACAACCAAGCACACTACACACATCCCACACACCACACCCGACGGACATTCTTCTTAAGAACAAAACGATAAGATTCCCATGTAATATGTATCAACATGCTTCGACATTTTATCGTTTATTCCGTAAATAAAAGAACTATATTGATTCGAACGATAGCAAAAAGGATACCGTAAAACCGCTCTCCATCAACCAAGAACAAATTAGAAAAGCCATTTCCTTCCGACATTCTGGCAGAGGGCCGGAGGTCCACCTGATACTTGGTCACGTTAACTGGTCATACAGTAACCAGCTGTGATCCCTCTAAGGCACGTCAATTCTTCCAGCATCAGGGATCCCACTGCTCGGTAGGACACACTTTCAGCTGCAGCCTCTCCCCAACTTAGGATTAGATTCCTCCAGCAACATAAACGATCATTAGAACAACTACCAGGCAGTATGTTTACAGCATATTGTCTCCCTCGGCTTCCGTGTCTTCCCCTGAGGACATCAAGCTGGAGCTGTCTCGAACATCGGCGCTCCAATCTGTAAAAATGAAATGCCTCAGTTAAATAGTACCATGGCTCATTGTGCAACCCGTGAGTCATATGTCCCTCAGATCGATGCTCATGATGTTGATCACGAGATTGTCTGGGCCAGACTTGATTATTTATAGACCGCCGCCATATTGCTGGAATATTGCTGAGTGCGGCATTAATAACAACAAAAACACCCTTTTGACATTTCGGATGATGACTGCCGGCGTTACGGGCGATGGGATTACTACTGGTTAAAGCGTTCGCCCGTCACGCCGAAGGCATTGGTTCGATTCAAATAGGCAACATTGTGTCCCCCCGTGAAGGAATATTGCAAAAAGCTGAGTAAAGCCATTTTCATCCCCTGTAAGCGTTAAGGATACAGCAGAGCACTTTAATTCAAGTGCATCTTGTTAATGCAAAGCATATCTGAAGGGATCTTGTTTCATAAAAGTTTATGTTCCAGAAAACAACTTAGCTGTCTCATACATTAAAGAATGAACGTTTTTGTTATACAAACTAGGAACTACTTCCCCCAATGCAACGTGGTACAAAATGTGATACAAAACGGGGAAAACATTTCAGCGAATGACGTCGTTATCTGTTCCGATGATGAGGACTTTTATGGTCATCAGGAAACACGAAACTATAACGATTTATTTCACGTCTGCTGTCACATAGCTCTAGGTTATCGATGAATATAAATCTATTCTGCAAATGCAAACATAAAATGGAACAAAAGACTTTGCCCGATCGTGTTCCTACTAGGGCTTCCACGGGTACTCGAGTACTCGAGGACGAGTCGGGTTTAGCTGGACTCGAGTCCGTTTTCAAGGACTCGAGGACTCGAAAAGGGGAGATAACTCGAATTATTGACGTTGACAGACTGTCTGCCATGTGCTAAGCATGAGCGGCCGTTAACGTCTAATATTAAGATAAGATGTAACTTGATTATCCCAGAGGAAATTCTTATACATCCAACTGTCTCAAAATGAATATATACACAGTTCACAAAAATATACACAATAATTACATGCAGAAAACGAATGCTATTTACACAATAAAACTGACATGATATAATTCAATTAACCACATAGGTAAAGAGGCTGAATAATTCTAGTTGTAATCACGTGATGGTGATTCAAAATATTTGTTGCATTCACGAATACTTGATGGTATGAAAGACTGTCGAACTCTGTTTTGAGGGAAGGTAATCGACAGCAGCGTCCAGAAGGAAGTAGTTCAAAATGGTGAGATCAAATATGTCAACCATCAAATCATCAACCATTTTATTTGCCTTTGTGACAATCTGGCGCTCATAGATAAAGGGAATATACTTAAAAGACACCCCAGAAATTTTGCAAGCAGTATTAACAATTTTGAAAACCTTCTTTTTGTTGCAATGAGACAGACTCCCATACCAACATAGAAAATTGTAGGACAACACACTTTGAATAAAGGTTTGATAAAAAACTGTCATTACTGTTTTGTCAATGCCTTGACAATAATAATGTTCAGAATCGGAAATTAGGCCAGTAACAGTGGCGTCATCTGCGAATTTCACAGTAAACACGTCATATATTGACAAGTAACAGTCATTGGTATACAAAACGAAGAGTACGGATGAAGGAACACAGCCATTTGGTTCTGCAGTAGAGGGTTGAGAGAAAAGAAGATTGATAGCCATTTACACTGACTAGTGAGTTCTATGTACCCATCTGATAATGTTTTTATTAAGACCTATATTAAATAGTTTACTCCTCATAAGGTGTGGCTGTATGGTATTAGTTGTTACAATTCTCTGCAGCTGAGAGTAAATATTATACATCGTTTGAAATTTCACTTCTTAAAATGATAAGGTAACTATCTTGACAATTGATAGACATGGAGAAAGATAAAGAATCAAATGTATGGGCGTATCTTGATCTGGATAGAGAAAAGAAAAATAACCAAATGCCGCCTGTGCGGTATATCACTGCGTTTTGCAGGCAGTACAAGTGAGTGACTGAGTTTGGTTTTACGCCGCTTTTAGCAATATTCCAGCAATATAACGGCGGGGACACCAGAAATGGGCTTCACATTGCACCCATGTGGGGAATCAGAACCGGGTCTTCAGCGTGTCGAGCGGACGCTTTAACCATTAGGCTACCCCACCGCCCTGGCAGTACAAAGTACGATGAAAAAACAAGTGTCCAGTAAACATCCAAATACTGATTCTGACCAATGGGAAATGTTAGTCACATAACGATATGAAGTCGGAATGAAGTAAGTGTTCACTTGTGTGATCGGAACACATGTCATGCAAGTTACGCCATTGTTTGCTTGAAAGGTATGAATTTCGGAGTACTCGGGTCCGAGTCGAGTCTCACCCCTCGAGTACTCGAGTCCAAGAAAATGGACTCGTTGAAGCCCTAGTTCCTACTGTGGAACTCCTATTGCATATGAGAAATGCTTGATCTTTTTAACATGATAGGAAATGGCAGACATTGATATCAGTTGTAATTGTTCATTTACGTTGTTTCTTCTTTAAAGCAGCAATCAGCAATATTCTAGCTATACGACGGTCTTCTATCAAAAGAAAGCTTGTATGTTTTATTGCTGGACTATTGCTAAAAGCATCGTAAAAACATAGTCACCTAAAGTTTTCAATAACTCATAAAGGGGGTTTTACAAACACTTCACGATATCGATGCTCCATTTCGTGTCTGAGCAGTTAGACTTGAATTAAATTTAAACGACGTTCGCTGATCAGAAATAGTGTCTTAATCGTGTGAGAAATATAACGATGGTACCCCATTTAACGACAGTGGTAATTAATTAGTTTTCTGATGCATGTGCGTGACACAGGATCGTCTTGTTCAAAGCACCTCATGTATCATTCCATTCGATCATATGCAATAGCAAAAAGAACAATTGGTCCTGGGAAATATTCGGCTAGTGTGCATGCACGATTGTAAAGGTTACGTTAAGATTTACTTTGAGCGAGATTTCGTTCAATGCATAAACGTATGCAGCATGTGTTGCCATTTGGAACATATTCACAAATCGCCCAATATCTACAAAATCAAAGTTAACACAAAAATCAGCTTTGATATCAACTGATTGTTTTTTATTTCACAGTTATATACGTTTCTATGAGATGTCATTCCATGTAATATAAAATATACACACAAATTTGTATCTGTGCCAATTTATAGAACTGCTAGACGGAATATAAACATAGACTCTGATCAAGTTTCATGACTGGCTAAACTGATCAAAGGGCACATGAGGTAGTTAAAGCTGGACTGAGACCTGAGGGATCTGATATTGAAACCTGACATTAGTGACGGATCTGAATCAAATAAAATCAGACTTTAACACTGGCCACTCGTAGGTTACAATAAGCTATCATATATCACGAGGAAGCTGTTATTTCTTGAGGTGCGTATTAATTAGGACTGCACGATATTACCGGTATATTGGTACATCGCAATAATCCTTTTAAACAATACGTATTGCAATATTTTCTCTGAGAACGGGTATATTGGGTAAAGTACATATATTAAGTTTTTGTGTTTATCTTTATGGTTTAACTTCAAATCTTCACATACTTTCATTCACAACGAGTGTTTCCCTTCGTTATTCAATGACTAAACGTCATACTACACTATAAATTGTATAAAAAAGAAAATAGAATCCATGTCTATGCAACCTAATTTTGAGATTGCTGTTATCAGAACCATAACATACATGTTTAGGGCCTAATAATGTAGAAAATAGGATGACATGCACAATTAGTGTCACTCACTGTCAAACACTTAAGTTCCCAATATATTGCAATACGGGTACATGAATCGCACAATTTTGCAATACAAATTTATTTAGGAGATAACCCTAGTGTGTTTGAAAATCAGAGACATGTTTTACTGAATTGATGGCGACTAAATTTCAATTGGAACCGAACGCGTAGCGTGAGGTTTCAATTGAAATATTTAGTCGCCATCAATCAATAAAACTATGTCTCTGATTTTCAAACACACTAGGGTTATCTCCATATCTCTATGACCCATTTAAAATCGAACTTCCTCGCTCTGCGGAAGACACTGCGTAATCCGGCATGGGACGAGAGGCGAATTGAACTCGTCTGTGAAGGGAGCGGTAGGTGCCGTTCGTATTTTTAACATTACAACATAACAATATTCTGTCCAAAGAAATCAAACTACTGTTTATACAATGCAATTATGTAATACCCAAGATCTTGTGTTTTTTTCATCCCATCTCCACACGACTAAAATCAGCCTATTGTTTTGTGTGCCGTGAAACTGTAGCCCCCTGGCCACACTATAATGGAATCGTCTGACCTACTTATTTTCTTCGAAGTAGACAGTTACGCAACAGTTTGAAATGGCGGCCGAGCCAGTGTTTACATTTTGCGAAAGGTTGAAATTTGAAGTGACAGTGGACAATACTTGACTGACTGTCGAATCTGAACCCTGCAGAATCGAAGAATAGATCCTTTCCTGATCAACCTACGACCTGTTACTCATCAAAGACTGTTGATTTTTATGACCGGCCGATCATGATTTCACGTACTGCCCCCACCCCGGCATGCGACAACAGAGTGACAGTGCTGCTGCTTAGTGTACATGCGACTAACTTGTGATTCCTTGGAACTTTGTTTTCGTCGTTTGGGACTGGACTGTGTCCAAGCGATTTCCAAAGTAGATGAACATAACAGTGACAACCTTGCAGGGAAGCTGGCAGAGAGCAGAATTATTTTGTGAACGATGCAACGCCAACGGGATATGATGGAGTATGACTATGAGTGGCATAAATGTGGTGTTTCGCCAGACCGTTAGATCTATCTTGCCAAATTTCCCATTCTAAACGGAATTAAATATACCATTTACCAGGTAGGTAAATGTTTACTAATGTTTTGCTGCATATTTTGCATAGATAGGGATGTATTTTTACAAGGCTTTCTGATTTATATGTTAGATATTGTTTTGTTTATCTTTGGGGCTGTGTATTGTAATTGAGTTTGAATATTTTTATAATAGAAGGTAATATGATAGTGAGGTTCCCTCATAATTGTGTGGGGGAAATCATATAATTGTATTTTTCGAGATTAAATAAATGTTTTGTCAGCATTTCCATCACGTCTGTTGTATTGATATTAGTCATTTTGGTGGTCAAGCTAAGTAGTGCGGCAGCGTTCTATGCGTGCGAAGTGAAGCGCAATGAAATCAAAATCATTTTTAATCCAAAAATTTCCAATTGCCTATGTGGAAAATTCGAAAGTCAGCGTCAAAATCCATGGAGTTGTTGTTATGATCCGCCATCATTATGGTCAAACGGAAGTAGTTCTCACAATAAGATTCGTTAATGCGCGGTGAAGCGGCCTTACAATCAGATGAGCGTCAATCCACAATTGATGCCGTCTGATTTTTCTGAACAACCAATCAGAATCTAGTATTTTCTTGATTCATGGTAGAATTGCCAATACACAGCAGTAGTATTAATAGCTAAAGAGTTCAGCAACAGCGCATAGGATCTTATTTTGTAATGATACCAACTGGAACGTGCGTAAAATATATTTTTTAACCAAATCGCTGCTTGGTTTGCGATCGGCTGTTGCAATTTTACGACGCTTCTCTGGCCAGTGTTTATGGAATGAAAATCGGAAGACACGATATCAACCACGAATATAAACCCAGGGCGTTTGCATTTTGTGGCAAGTGTTTCCACTAATTAATAAACCAACTCCGTACAATAATTATAATGATAATAATGATAAAATATATGATACAATACACGCGTCGATTGAAAACGACAGGAGGGATGGTTGTGTTTACATTTCGCCTTCATTTACATGGACCGTGCAGCTATGAGAGGTGAGGTAGGGTGAACTGTGGTGTGTGTGTGTGTTGTTGTTGTTGTTGTTGTTGTTGTTGCTGTCGCTGTTTGGCAGTGTAATTCATTGTAAAACATCTTACATTGAGTTGTTTCTCTTAAGTTTCAGTGAGGAGCAGTGCTGTGCTGGACTAGGAATCACGATTGAACTGGACGTGTATGGAGCAGCCAGAATAACCCGCATATTACTTAATGTCCACGAAGATATTAATTCATCTCTTATAATAGATTATAACAGAATACGACAGGTGTGTGCTTGTATCATCTCACAGCCCAGCAGTTGTGTAAAACTCACTTCTCACCCAAGATTCCCACCATAGGCGTTAAACGGACGCTTGACCACAGTCGATGCAAGTTGAATATTATCGTCATTGTTTTTTTTACCTACAATCACTGTCTGAATAACACTATCTAAAAAGTAGGGGGTGTTCCAAGTTGGGGCTATATTATTTGGGATCCAAGTTTTACGATTGAAATGATTATTCCATTCACAACGTGTTAAGAATTTCGTCAAGGGCAATCTCGTGCAAGCGTTTTTCATGATGTGCAGACGTCGATCTGGTCTGCCAAGGGCGACAACTGGCGCACAACACCGTTTCATCAGAACGATTGTGTTACCTGGTCAAAGTGCCTCTCACATATGTAATCGGCTACATAGATGGAACATGCATGCCCATCGTCCACGTGTTATCCCAGATAATCGCTACATTAACGTTGGACTAAACGAGCTTTTTGGGCGGTGGCTCAGTAATTGTTTGTGTGGAAACACTGTGACTGGCAGAATATATTTACATATTTGTCACGGATGTGTCAGAGACAGTACTACCGTGTGAACATTACGGAGGCGCACGTGATGACATTTGCGCGCCGTCATTTTCGCCGGTTTGTGTTACAGAGTGACAACTCAATTGTTGCTGATTACGTCAAACGGGAGAACAGCACTCTCACACTTGGCTTCCATAGAACATGTCTGGGATATCCTTGAACGAATACGTCACGTAGGTCGCCGTCAATAACCCCGACCACGCTCAAGGAACTTGGTGCTGCCCTGCATGAAGAGTTGGATGGAATGAAACAAGTGGACATTGGACGTTGAATCCAGAATGTCTTGAAAACACACGCAGATTCATGCGCTATTATGAGTTTGACTTTTAATGGTAAATAACGTGATGGGCAGTAGGGCGTTTGGCCAATAATCTAACAAAATCTATGGTCACTGAGATGTCCCAGTTACATTGTTAAATTATTTAGCTCATTAATGATATAACATATCAATAGTTGCGACACTGCTTGTTAACAGTACATGTATGTATTTTTACTACCAGTGAATATGTACTGTCATCGAACTTCCTTGCAGTAATTTGCTTAGATTTGTATTCTTAGTCACTGTTAGAAAACAATTTGAATTGTATACTATTTATTTATTGTTAGTTTCACACGGAATTCCATAACAGATTTGTGGTAGACCTTTTTTTTACTCGGAATTGACCCGTGAAGATCCGCGTTAGAATTGATCTTCAGTAACCCATGTTTGTCGTAAGAGGCGACTTACGGGATAGGGTAGTCAGGCTCGCTGACTTGTTTGACACATGTCATCGTATCCCATTACATAGATCGATGCTCATCCTGTTGATCACTGGATTTTCTGGTCCAGACTCGATTATTTACAGACCGCCGCCGTACAGTTAGTCACTCTACTTGGAAATCGACACCCACATGTAACAGTGTGTATGCTTGTACTAGTCTGGCCCAATGCCGGTTCCACCGCGCTTTTCAACTGAGGTGGTCAGCCACTGTGTAACATAAATGCCTCGCTCAGATACAGTAAACTGACTCCCGTTTATAGTATTATCGTCGATCACCAGGCAAACGAAGAAGCATCTTTAAACGGATTTTTGTATGACGCGATCGAAAAATACACGATTCTAACCGCCGCAAATAGACTAGTTTCAAACTAATGTTACTAAGCTGTATACCAGGCCACAAAAGGGTTGGTTTTGTCTGAAATCAGCCATCGTTTATACGATGCAAAGAAGATATTTTGTTTCATGTCCCGATAACTGATTCAAACTGATCGTTTTATTTCTGCGTAAAGTAGGTCTTTGGCAAATTCAGTTAACAGCTGGTCAGAAGTGACTGCTGTGTAGAGTCACAGATAAAAAGATGTCAAATTATCAGTTTTGGATGAAGTATTAGGTTTCATTTTGTTGGGCTTTGAAAGAGACGTTGTGGCGGTTGTCTTCAGAGTAGTCATTTCATTCTAAGCCCAGAAAAGATTCTCTTCCCGATGCTCTGTAATTTGAATGCGGCAACAACAGAATCACAGTACCATCGATCGGTTTTCGCATTTTCCATTGGAATAACCTCCTTTTCTGTGTTCTGAACGCTAAACCTTTAGCTCAAATTTTAGCTGTGTATTGCTTTAGACATATTTAAACATTTGAGGTCAATGGCGCAATGCTGTACAAATCTAGAAGGGCCCGCGTCGATCATAATGCCAGGGTTGTATCAGTTCTGTTGGGAAGATGCCTAACCAGCGTTATATCTTTATCCGTTGAGGGACGGCCTTCGCAACAAATACATTTACAGATTTGTTGTTACCTTCCTTGATGTGAATGAATAAGGTTTTACGCCGCATGTAGTACTATTTCAGGGTTACCAGAGGGCACGAGAAATGGACTTCACATATTGTACACATGTGAGGAATCGAACTGTCCCACAGCCTCTCCATCCCACCCTGCCTGGAGCTAGGCTTGATGTATGTTGATGTGTCTACAGGCCCTCGTGTCTTTGCGAGGATTAAAGATTTGTCTTAAAATCAATGCTTTTTTGTAAAAAACAACAGAAAAAGATCTGCTGTGGTATCTTGGCTTACCACATTCACTGTCTGTGACTTGGAAATCAGAATCGTCGGTGTCGTCGTCCGTGATTGCGCTGTTGACGCTTGTGAGCGACGTCCTCCTCTCCAGGTGCAGAATATTCAGTAGTTTCATAGGGCCTTTACCTGCAATATAAAAGTGTATGGGGACATTGATGGTTGATGTGCATCTTCACATAACAATGTAAATTTGGAAGCCACGGTAATGAGGAAATCCGTCTACAAATCTACATAGTCCAGGAGGAAGCAGCTGAAAAATGTGAAATCGTAGCCTGTTTCACACTGTTTTCAGTTAGTATGATGTCTTGGGCTCACGAAATGGCCTGTGATCTTTCAGATGTTGGTATAAGGGTTCTTTACAGGCCACTATATGTGGTGGGGGGGCATTTTCGCGACATTTGGTTTGCTGCCAGACAACACCTCATTTAATCATGAATAGTTTAATCATGGATAGTGTTACTACTATCAAAATGATCACATTCATTTTTACTGCTGTGTGTTGCTTAAGGACGTAGAAATTAGTTGACATTTTTGTTTTTGAAACAAAAATCAAAATGGCCGCCATTTTGTTTTGTCGTGTTTTGCCTTCTCAGCGCTTACATTTACATACAAATGAACACAGAATGTTTCCATTTACATTCAAAGTTGATACTTTTGACTAGAAGTGATTAAAACATCTTTTTTCCACACCGATTAGTTAATCCGGAAATGTGTTCACCGTGACGATTTCGATGGGACCGGTAGGGACCATATGATTTTAGGTGGTGTGTGAACCTGAGCATGGAGCCCAGATTACAATTCAGTTGAAGATACGCAACGTAGGTCACGGGGAGTGCTTGGACTGGTGACAATGATTGTTATCTTGACTCCTGAGAGTTTCAAGGACTTCAGCCCTGTCCCACAACTAAGCACACGTGACACATGCGATCTCACCTTGGAAGTGAGTTTGTTCAAACTTACCTCTGTTCACCCAGCAGTGAATGGGTACCTGGTGGGATAAGTTATGACCTGATGGGAAAAGTCAGTATTAACCGTCTGGGTCCTCACCGATAGCTTGGGTTTACTAGGGTTATAATGCCCATTATGCTGTATGCCGACGATGTCGTATTGGCCACACCAGATATACGCATGAGTACCTATTAAAAGGTTAGGATCCTCCGTTTTGTATCCCTTGTGATGAACGAATCACGTCAAGCATGTCTTGCTTGACTGTGTTGAGTACTCCATCACAAGGGATATCTATTTCAAATCACGAACGATGAAGGATCTTTTAAATAATATCAGTTCTCATTTAGTTATTGCATTTTTAAAAGAATTAGATTTGTTGAATGAATTGTAAATAGATAAATATTTTAAAATTGGTAGTTTAGTTGAGCAGCTGAGATTGTTAATGGCTGTATCCTCACAGGGGGTTGAAGCATTGTAAAATTATTGTCCTCCCGTGGGGGTACGTAAGTCCCAAAACATTCAAGCTAAATTTAAACTTATCATTAATTTTAATCGTAGAATATGTGTTATTTTAACTTATGGCTTATTTGTCTTAACTTGCTGACGGCTGAAGGGATGGTGTAAATCAGTCCATGCAGGAAACAAATGTACTGTAAGTCCCCATGGTTCCTAGTATGGTGATCTACCTTCAGTCGTTAGCAATCTACAGCCTGTTTTTATATTGTATTGTCATTTCTAGTTCCAATATTTTAGATTTAATTGCTAGTTTTAAATGGATATCTGTGATACACTAGTAGTTTTACTGTTCTTCGTCAACAGGTTTTTTAATTTCTAACTTTATTCATCTTTAATATAATTATAAAATGTTCTCGTCACGATATGGCTGCAATATTGCCGATGTGACGATAAATATTAACTCACTCACTCACTCAATTATGCTGTATGCGCTCAGAGTATAAGAGGCCTTATTATTATTATCAAAATATATTACACACTATTTAAGGCTGTATGGAAACAGAAAGGTTATGATTCATATGTGTGCAAACATATCATGCATTCATCATGTAAAAGTAATGATTTATAATTCCATTTATATTTTGTTCTACGTTTTACTCTACTGCCTATAGTTCGAAGAGCAATCCTTTCCTGCTATGGTGCAATCTAGGTTATCGATGTACCCATACACGATAAGCTTTTTTTCTCCATAATAGAGATAGGCATAGGCGTAACAACGAGGCTTGTGATTTTGTTTTATCTCATTTAACACTGATTAAGGTCCAAACACATCACAGGACAGATAAAACTTTCCTTGCTTGTATCTTTCCTAATATATACTACCCATCAAAAGTTTAGACTCACTTAAAGCACTCACTATATGTTATGTATATGTATGTGGTTACATCGAAGATGAATTTCTCCACCAACTTGGGGGAACCAACTGAAAACCTTATGCAGATGAATTGCACAAGGATGATGCTTCAAATTGCGAAAGGCATGAGCAAATGTCGTGCATGTGAACAGATGCGTTTTGGTGTAAAGTTTTGTTAAGAATTCGCCAATTTTCACAGATTTTAATCATTTACTGAACTCATGACAATAATCTTTTCAATGTTACGAATATGTTTTACAATACACCAGTTCATAACTAAACAGTACCTTTAAACAGTATGGAATATTTTGCAAAAAGCTAGTTTAGAACAGTGGACAAGTAAGTGGCTACATTTACACTAGTGAGTCTAAACTTTTGATGGGTAGTATAGTTACCATGGGCGGATCCAGGAATTTTGAAGGGGTGGGGGTGGGGGTTCAGAGGGTTAAAAACCCTGAAACCCCCTCGGCTCCGCCAACGCAAATTTTTTTTTTTTAAATGTGGTCTTAAGTCATTTTCAAATTCAGTGTTAATGTCAATACTTCCGGGTCCTGTCAGAAGGAAATCCTTCGATGAAATATGCATGGTTGTTCTATTTCACGCGAAATGTTTACACTCTGATAAGATGTACAAACACCAGAGACTGACATCGAGATAAAGTATCGAGGTAATAGGAGTCAGCTTGCGGACAACAGCTTTGAATGTATTTGAGGCCTCCTGTATTTTGAATTGATAATGTTTAGGGAAGGGAGAGAACTCTTGGTGGCATGCTACGTTATAACATTTCGCCCTAAAACCTCACCTTCCTACCGTCTATGCTTTTGTTTGTTTAACGCCGCACTCAGCAATATTCCATCTATAGTGTGGTGGTCTGTTAATAATCGATCTGGACCAGACGAGCCAGTTAGCAACAGCATGAGCATTCATCTACGCAATTGGGATATGATAACATGTGTCAACCGAGCCAGCGAGCCTGACCACCTGATTCCGTTAGTCGCCTCTTACGACTAACTGACTGAGTTTTATTTATGCTACTTTTAGGAATATTCCAGCAATATCACGGAGGGGGACACCAGAAGTTGGCTTCACACGTTGTACCCATAAGGTGAATCGAACCCGGGTCTTCATCGTGACGAGCGGACACTTTAACCATTAGGTTACCACACCAACCCGCCTCTTACACCTCAAACATTGGTTGCTGAAGGTATTTTAAAAAAATATTTTTTTCAGTTGGGAGATAACAAACACATGTTGTCAGGATGTTTGATGAGTGTTTGATGCCCAACAACTGGAGAACACATGGTTACAGCTTTCAATACCTTAAACCGGCATATACTCTCAAGGCAACTGAATCGTTTGGACAGGAAAATACAAAGGTGGATCAACAAAGGCTGATATATAGTAATCAAATAGAAACGATAAATCCTTTTCCATATCTATGAAAAATCTCTTATAAAACAAGAGTCGAGTGTCCATTTCCGAATCACTAGTGTTTTGAAATCACTATTAAATAAGGGTGTTATCTTAAGGGTGTTTCCGGGAAGAGGCGTAGCGTAATGATAGCCTAACGGTTAAAACTCGTCACGCCGAAGAGCCGGTTTCGATTCCCCACATGTGGACAATGTGTGATGCCCATTTCTAGTGTCCCCCGCCGTGATATTGCTGGAATGTTGCTAAAAGCGGCGTGCAACTATACTTACTCACTCAGTTAAATTATAAATGAAATAAGCAGAATGATTTAAAGAGTATAAGTAATAATACAGTGAATGTTATAGTCAAATGGCTATAACAAACACAGCCCGCGCACGCGCGCACGCACACAGGTACGCACACACCACCACCACCCGCCAACAGCATCAGCGCATTGTCGAATTAATGTGCGCTTTTATTGTGGAACATCCATGTCATATCAGTGCACTCTGTTTGCTCTATTAGCAATATTACAACGGGGAACACCCATAGGAATCGAACCCGGGACTTCAGAGTGAAGTGTGAATACTTTAACCACGAGGCCACCTGATCAGACCGCCAAATTGTTATCGCAAAGTTCTGTTATCGTGCACGTAACGCCCCATTCGTCACACCGATAACACTTGTGCATGTCATTCTTGAGTTGATGTAAATGACGTAAGTTGCACTAGCAGTGTCTCCTGCTGTGGTATAGGAGTTTGAATAGGTTTATACGGCATGGCTGTGCATTAGCGACAACTTCTAGTCAATCACCCGGTAATCACCACGTGGGCTTACATGCATCGTTTCATTAATCTATAAACACTAGGTTAGACAGTACTCGTGTTGTTGTGTTTGCACGTAATCTATTGTACACGATTACTCATGGGATCGAACAATAGTCAGGTGCGATACATCGATCATGCTTTACCTGTCAATAGTGTCTGATCTGACCTGTGGATTGTGTCTTGAGAGTAGTGTGTAACCTGTCGCTAACTTATGACCTGCCAATAATGTATGTCCTCCAAGTAATGTCTCAAATGCCAAGAATGAGTGACCTGTTGATTACTTGTGACCTGCTGATAATTAAGATTAAACTGCAAGTAATGTGTGACCTGTCGATTACTTGTGACCTGCTAATAATACAGACTAAACTGCAAGTAATGAGTGACCTGTCGATTACTTGTGACAAGCCAGTAATGCCTGTCCTGCTAGTAATGTATGAGCTTCCAAGAATGACTGACCCGTGCCAATCATGTCTCATCTGCCAGAAATGTGTGACCCGTGCGTCTTGTCAACTATGTCTGACCTGCCAGGAATGAACGATCTGTAGATTATGTTTCCTGTCAATAATGGCTGACCTGCCAGGAATGAACGATCTGTAGATTATGTTTCCTGTCAATAATGGCTGACCTGCCAGGAATGAACGATCTGTAGATTATGTTTCCTGTCAATAATGGCTGACCTGCCAGGAATGAATGATCTGTAGATTATGTTTCCTGTCAATAATGGCTGACCTGCCAGGTATGAATGATCTGTAGATTATGTTTCCTGTCAATAATGGCTGACCTGCCAGGAATGAATGATCTGCAGATTATGTTTCCTGTCAATAATGTCTGACCTGCCAGGAATGAATGATCTCTAGATTATGTTTCCTGTCAATAATGTCTGACCTGCCAGGAATGAATGATCTGTAGATTATGTTTCCTGTCAATAATGTCTGACCTGCCAGGAATGAATGATCTGTAGATTATGTTTCCTGTCAATAATGGCTGACCTGCCAGGAATGAATGATCTCTAGATTATGTTTCCTGTCAATAATGGCTGACCTGCCAGGAATGAATGATCTCTAGATTATGTTTCCTGTCAATAATGGCTGACCTGCCAGGAATGAATGATCTCTAGATTATGTTTCCTGTCAATACTGGCTGACCTGCCAGGAATGATGATCTGTAGATTATGTTTCCTGCCAATAATGTCTAACCTGCTTGGATTGAGTGACCTGACACAAACTAATGTCTAATCTGTCGACATGTGTGACCTGTACATTACATGTGACAGCCATTCGTGTTCAGATAACTATAACTGCAGGCTACATTCCACCCAGCTGCCCTGGTCACAGACAAGAGATTAGTCCTGATATAGATTGCGAAATGGTCTCTAGAGTAGAACATTTAGCACGTCAACAATCATGACATGTAGACTCCTTATAATATCAACTCACAAAGACAATTTTAAAGTCATATTTATATACAATGTCATTCGTTTGAAAACGAATCTTTAAAACAAAGCGATTAAACTATGGTGTTCATAATAAATAACCTTAAAATATAAAATATATATATAATCATAATTTGCACAGCTGTTAATCAATAATTACAAAGAAACCGCTTCACAGTGTCTCATTATTCGGCTTAATTATCCGATGACTTGACCACGAAACTGGCTCTTCTACATTTTCTTGTTCACCACGTCGAAAAATGTTTTGAGTTGAAATTCAAACTGACGTTTTTTTACTTAGATTACTTACTTTTCTTACTAGTTAAATCTACCACTGACTTTGATAGGGAAAATCCTCAAAATATAGTTTTTTAAAACAAAAACAAGTCAACATCCTTAGACGTAGGGGTCTATCATCAAACCACAGTAACACACGAATGTCCAGGAAGCCATATGACCTAAGGCTGTTGAGGGGGTATTTTAGCCCTTTACGGCAATATTCCCGCAGCCATCACGCCGGGGGACACCAGACATTGGCTCCACACATTGTAACCATGTGGGGAATCAAGCTGTGATATTCGGTGGGACGAACGAATGCTTCAACAGCCTGGCTACCAAGTGGTACTAGCTGCTGCATATAGATATTGCCCTTCATGCTTTGGTCTAATTCAAACACGATACAGCGAGAGCCTCCATCGTCACATTGCTGTGTTGTGAATATGAATATCCACAATATATATGCTGGGACCACAGCACCATTCACTCACTCCCCCACTCCCCCACTCATTCACTCGCCCACTCACTCACTCACTCACTCACCCACGTACTCAACCACTCACTCAACCACGCACTCACTCAACCACGCAGTTGCTCGCTCGCTCACTCACTCACTCACTTACTCACTCACTCACGCACTCACTCACTCAACCACTCAAGCACGCACTGACTCACTGACTCACTCACTCACTCACTCACTCACTCACTCATCCACTCACTCACTCACCCACCCTCCCAAAACCCACCCACCCACTCACTCACGCACCCACCCACCCACGCACGCACTCCACGCACATATCGGAAAAAATATCAGACGTTGATATCTATGGTTCCAAACAATTAGCTATAGCAATAAACATTCAGTATTAAAACAACAAAACCAAATATCGGCACATGTATGACCATTACATGCACAAACATATTTTAGATTGATTAGAAGATATCCTTACTGATGTTTACTCTACACGTGGTAATGTTTACCCAACATTGTCAATACATTACCATACAGTCTCCCTCGCTGTCGAACAGGCTGTACCGGTACGGCCATCATGTCCTGGACCCCCGGGGACACATTCTTGAGGGGCACCTGCTCCACCCTCACCCTAGTGCAGCGTCCCTCCCGCTGTAGACGTTTGAGAAGCCCGAGTCGAGCGTTGTCTAGTGAGAAGTAGACTCCTCCCTTTTCCACAACCTTGAGACCTGCCTTCTCATCACACAGATCCATCGGCTGGACCTCGTGGGCGATGTCGGCGGTGTTGTGTTTGACGTCGTCCCTGATGCCAGCACATGGCATGAACTGGATGTCGGCGGGTGATAACATCATCTCTCCTCCACTGTCCGAGTTACGGGGATGGGTTCTTGCATCTGGAGCAGACTAACATCATCAACGTGTGTTAGGATCGTTTAACATGGAAGACCATATACTCGAAGATCAATTATTACAAATAGGCATTTATGAAAGAACATGAACGATGAGTATGGCGATAGCGGAAGTTGTACACAAAGCAAACGACTCATCGCTGTTATGTTTACAAAGGGATTTCCTCCAGAGCTTGCAAATATCATTACAAATGCCATCACGTAATTGCACCATGTAGTCAAGTTAAATCTCTACTTCGTCATAATCGATACATCGATAAAACAAAATGAATACAGCACCTGATTGACAACTTCTTCCGACATGATGCTCTAGTCGTGTGTCCTCTGTGTACGGTAGTACGGGAGTACGGTGGTACGGGAGTACGGTGTACGGCTGGCTGAGGATAGAACTGTTCATGGGACCTACCAGACTTGCCCACTGTTCCCCTCTAACCAGCAGCTAGTTGTTGCGCTCGGACCCAGATGGGACTGAGGTATCCTGATTGCCTTGAGCTTGTAGTTGCCGGAGGAATCGATCGGCAGCAATGTTGTATAGAACTGGGTCTGGTGAATCTCCAGAGTCTAACCCCACGTTATTGTTATGCACGAAATGAATTACTAGTCTTGCATGCAGTACTGATGTATCTATGCCAGGAAATACTTGCCGTACACACTTTAATATCAACCCAGTTCAAAATCAGACCAGATGAGACCGTGGCATTGAGAGGTTGCGCGGTACATCATTCCCAGACAGATTCAGGACTGCAGTATAAACATGTGTGACTTGTCCAATCCACTCGAATGCGCTCTGGGGGTCCAGGGGATTGCTTGTCAGCCCTGGGCTCGTAGACCTATATAGTTAACTCTATGGGTTTTGTTTCTGTTTAATGGTTTAAAGTAAGGACCGCCGAGCGAGACAACACTGGCACTTAAATCAACCTTATGCTGTGATGATTTTACCATGAAAACCATCGAAACGTATTTCGAATTCACTAATCATTAACGGATAATGGGTGCATGGAACATGTACAGTTGAAATCAAAAGTTGTGGCGTGCTTCTTCTTACCTTTATTATGAGTGAGTGATATTAATATTTAACGTCACATCGGCAATATCTCAGCCATATCGTGACGAGAACATTTTAATTTATATCAATTTTAGAAACAATAAATTGAGAACATAAAAACCTGTCAGCGAAGGACACAAAAACTACTAGAATATCATAGCTCTTAATTTAAAACTAGCACGCTATCATAAAAATATATCACTATAGACAGCAATATAAAACCGGGCTATAGATCACCAGCAACTGAAGTCTGATCACCATACTAGGGACCGTGACCTTTATTATGAATAGATTTCGTATTAACGTAACGATTACCGTCGCATCGGCAATATATACTTCAGATTTAGTAAGTGAGTTTAGTCTTACGCCACATTTAGCAATATTCCAGCAATATCATGGCGGGAGGCACCAGAAATCGGTTTCACGCATTTTACCTATGTAGGGAATCGAACCTGGGTCTTTGGCGTGACAAACGAACGCTTTAACCACTAGGCTACCCCGTTGCATCAGACTTATCGCGATTAACAACGTTGCACTTTGTATCTCACATGGTTCAAATGAAGATATGTATGCTGTGTTCATTACTGTTAAATACATGATACAACATTATTTCCTCATAAAACATATGCTTAAAGAGACTTCGATGAACTTGACATTCAAACTGAGGTAGGTACTTCATGGTGCCGACTGACTGAGGTACACACTCCGGCTGAATCCTTATGTCGAACGAACAGCTAGTGGATCTTTGCAAGCATAAGGAAGCAGTCAATGGTTATAAGATAAATTATGTGTTCTCGGTTTTGTTGTTGTTGTTGTTGTTGTTACATATAGAAATGAAACATCTCAAACATGCACACAGTCACCTTTAACAAAGACTCCACGCAAGAAAAAGCAATACAATTATTCACATACTTTGTGTACATAAAGACATTCAAATCAAAGCAACAGAAACGAAAGACATGATGTATTAGTTTGGTACTAAATGCCTAATATTTCCTTACAGATATATATACCACTTTCCCAGAACTGGTGAATGAGTTTGGTTAAATGCTGTGTTCTAACAGTAACTTCACTAACCTCACGCTGCTGTGATACCATGGAACTAAATGTTGCGGATGCTGTTCAAGAACTGTAACATAATCAGAGAGAACCTAGGATTCGAACCCACTATCAAAGGTTCCTGGTTCACCTAAGGGACGTAACTACGCACATTCAAATGTTGCATCACAAGAAAAAGAGTAGGTTTACACATACGTATGTCAAATTCCTAAATAATTTAAAACTTAAACATAACTTGTCGATTTAACTTATATTTATTTCTGTTCATTGTTGTTGTTTTTCTGAAATGCCGACATCCCTTGATAGCAAACGTAATTTCAAAGGAGGTGATGTTAGATATATCTGACTGGTTGTCATGCAACAAAATATTTCATGCCACACCTCATACATCTCTAAATAGATTTCAAAAGCAAGAAAAATGTGCCAAAATAACTGTGAGAAAAAGCGATCTTGTTTCTTGACAACATTTTGTAAAACGTACAAATTAGTTGGTGAAGCGCAAACAAACTCACACAGACACGCATATGCGCATTCACACACTCTCATCACCCACAGTCACACTTGTTTTGTTAAAAAAAGAAATATTACTTCGTCGTGTGAAATATCTTTTAGACGACATGACGACTCATGCCCCAGGTTCATTCTTTCCAAAACGTAATTAACCATGACAACGTTTTTGACACAAACCCAAAGGCTCTGACGTAGACATTACTGTTGTAACCTGATATGTGCTGATGTTGCACCCATGCTCTAAATACCAGTCTACATGTATATCAGATAATACCTATCTCATTTCATTGATAAAGCTTGTCATTGAACGGGTCATTTTCCATTGTGCCTTACCGCCTCCCCATAACACCGGTCAACACTAGATGAACTGTCATACACTGTACACATGGTTTCAGTATAAATAAACGTATGTACCTTGTACAACGTGGTGACGTACTCTTGGCGATGAATGTTCTCTAAATCGGGATGTCGTATACACACCATCGTATTGAATGACACTAATGATGTGAGTGACTTAAAATTTATAGTCACGAACTTCAGCCTTATCGATATCACTGTGACAGAGGCAGGGAGTGTACGTGTTTCCTGTCGCTGAATAAAGTGGTATGCTGATATTGAGAGTGATATATCGCTGAATAGGAAATTTTCGCATCGTCAATTTTAGAATCATAGCCTTTTTCCGAAAATTCAATGAACGAGTGGTAATGATTTTCGTAGATACGAAAGAAAAAAGCAATACAAACACATCACCTTGACTCACGGCTTTGTTCATACATGTGTAGATTTTTATTCCAAGATGGCGAAATTTACGCATCACGAATTTTAGAATCATAGCCTTTTCCGAAAATTCAATGAACGAGGAATGATTTAAACGAATTTCTGAAGGGTTTTAAACGTTTGGAAATGATTTTTATTATTATTATTATTATTATTATTATTATAGGATATTTATATAGCGCACATATCCACGCACTAGTGCATGCTCAAGGCGCTGGTATTTTTTCCCTCGATCATTGGATGTCAATCTCAACGGCGCAGCGCATTATCAATCTCAACTCCCTGGGGAGTATACAACTCTTGCAGCCACTAGGCGCACCGAGTTATTGTGGCTTTCTCATCCTAACGAGGATGATTTTCGCAGATACAAAGGAAAAAAAGCAATACAAACGCATCACCTTGACTCACGGCTTTGTCCATACATAGATTTTGATTCTAAGATGGCGTTTTTCACTCACTTTTATTATACACCATGACAGTGACAGAGGTCAAATATATACTAGTACTTGCACGAGCAAGATTGGAAAAAGCCTTCTCGACTTAGTCTATATTTACATACGTACAACATAGTGTTCTCGAGACTGTCGAGCATGTCCTGGTCTGCTGACAAAGCGAGTCGTGAGTTTCCAAACATAACTCACGACTTATCGAACACTTTAAAAAAAAATTGTGTCCTGTTCATGTATGTTTAAGAGATGTCTCTGAGAAGGTTTCCATGTGATTATGAAGTATTTGGTATTACACTCTACTGTGATCGTATCGCATAGTAAAAAATATCCTTTCGACCTATATTATGTTTGCTTCTATTGACGTGTTATATAATTTCCATTATGTGTAAAATGTTCATTCCAAATAGTTTAACATGTAATATATAATTATATCGTTCGATAAGAAGTTAAAATATCAATCGCTAAAACAAGTTAATAGAGTAACATTAATATTTCTAATATTTCTTATATGCAAAAGTGCATATTTACCAAGATGTGTTTCAGCAATTTCATAACACAACGTCTCTGAACGATAATGGTGATGGTTGAATGGTGTATTAACGGACCCCATGTCATCTTGCGTCATACCGTTGCTACTGTTTATTTCTGGCCGGGATGTTTTGTTTCAAAATGAAAGTCGTACACATGCAAATTTCATACACCAATCATCTTTAAAGAGCGATTACTGTACAAATTTACTATGGTCATAAAAAATGCGCAAGTGGTTATGCACTCTCAAAACATTCGTTTCACCATATCAACATTGATTTTACCATGACATTTAAGTATGTTCGTTTTTGATTGGCTGTTACTAAAACAGTAGAAGTGAAAAATTTCAATAACCACTTCTGAGAGCCGGTTCACTGCGCGTAGTGTCAAAACACTACGCAAGGGTAATGAGTGCATATTTTAAACGCGATTTATTCATGGTGCATATGGCATAGTAGAATGGAGATAATCCTATTGTGGTTACATTTTGGAAGTGATTATAGTTGGTTGAACGCTGCTGAATGTTTCATTTAGCAGCGTTCAACCAACTATAATCACTTCCAAAAACACAATAGGATTATCTCCTAATTGAATCTGATAAATCTCCCAGTATTTTCAATCGTAACTTAAATATGGTAAACCCTACTTTTTTTAAGAGTATATTTTATGAATGTTTGTGTTTGTAATTGGTTTAAGTTATAATACAGTGGAAGCCCTCTAAACCGGCAGTCCTCCAATCCGGCATGTTCTCAATACCGGTACTAGAATTTGGTCCCGGCAGAAGCTAGTTAATTTATGATCATATACACGCCCTCTAATCCGGCGTCAGTCTATTCTGTATTTGAGTAAGTGAGAACGGTTAGGATCGACAAGAGTTTCCTGAGTTCTAGATTAAACCTTAAGAATTAGCCACAGCTGATATTTGGCACCGATGGCGCCAATCTAAGCAATGCCCCAGCTATTGTACGGATGTTTGTAAATATACAAATCCCAGACAATCCAGATAATCACGTCATCAAAATCGATCAACGCAATTGCGTTACGATGACATGCATCAACCAAGCTTGACCACTTGATCCCGTTTATCGAGCATGTTTATTATAGTGTCTCTTCTATGATGATTTAAGAGAAGCTCTTTATAAATATTACGGCTGAAGGCTGAACTTTTTAACATTGTCAAACTACGAAAAAGTATTTGGCCTTTTCAAACATGAGTTCTATCATACTGACAAAACTTTGTATGTTTTAATACTAAAACGTAGCAAACATATTCTATATGGATAAACTATCGCTTTTATAATCAATGCCTGCTTGTATTTATCGTCTCTTATAATATTATATGAGTGGCGGTGTATCATATTCTTAATGTACGGTGTACTAGTATGTGATTAAGTGGGTGAGTGAGTGAGTATGGTTTTACGCCGCTTTTAGGAATATTCCAGCGACATCAAGGCGGGGGACACCAGAAATGGGCTTCACACATTGTGCCCATGTGGGGAATCGAACCCGGGCCTTCGGCGTGACAAGCTGACTCTTAACCACTAGGCAACCCCACAAAAGGCGGGCGTCGAACAAATATTCGTGCTCCGCAAAATTGGACATGTGAGGGCATGTAGCATGGGCCACCGAATAACTCAGATGCTTGACAAATCATTCCAACTTATCAACTAAAGGGGTGTTCTGTGTGGTGGTGCATGTAAATGTATTGATTATTTCCGTCACGCAAACGTAAAACACATTCCGTGTATTTTGCAGAGATCCAACGCGTAAGGTAACACTCGACGACAGTCACATTGTTCATAATGAGAGTTGCTGTTTCCTGTTTCTCGATCCAGTTCACACGCCTGCTCATCCCATATGTTTGATCTGTTCTACATATTAATACCATACATTGAAGCAGTAGATTTTCCTTCTCGGTATGCTTATCAATGCGACTTTAACCCACCTGGACGACTTGACCCATTTTGCAGGTTCACCCTTATCAGGTGTGGCAAATTTGCTCAGCAGAAAAAAAGTGCATGTTTAATTTGTCACAGAGCCGACACAATGCATGTTTAGGCAGATTGCAGTGCCTGGTTGCTATGTTCTGTTATATTATTACGAACAGGAGTCAGAGTTGAATAACCGTCCAGACGAAAATAGTTCCTCGAGATTCGACCGAGAAGCAACGTTGAAAATAACATATTTGCATTAAACCTTGTGGGAAAGACAATCAAGTCGTTCAACAACAGGTAACTGCTGTGCGCTTCCCACTTGGAGCGTTATAGCGCGGTGCATATTTGTCATATGTGATCTTTAGCACACTCGAGATACAGTATCGGATGTCTCACAATCACAGACAACAGACCTAATCAGCCACCCAACTTCGGGATGCGATTAGTATCAAGTTATGGGTGAGGCCGTTGATGTTCGCATCTTATCGGAGCTGACACCGTCCCTATTGTACACGGAGAAATATTCAGTGACGAATGACGATTAGGGTGGATTGTTATCTCGGAAGGACTTCCTAGTTCTTGGAAAATATTTCAGTCGGCGTGCATGTGATTTTGATCCTTCACAGGAAGAGTGTTAGCTGTAAAGGTAGGTGTACTTCAATATCATACATATGAATATTTCAGCGTTTAATATCATAGGAAGAGCGCAGTTTAACCTAGGCATTGGCAGGGACTCAGAGACAATATTGCTCATTGTTGAGTCACACGGCTACCATTCCCCACAATACGCAATGTATTTGACACGTGTAGTTCAATTTGTCATATGCTGGTCGTTTTTAGGGTTTAGGGTCATCTCAACCTGAGGGAGAATATCTAAAGATGACAAGGATATTGTGTCGCATTTGTTGCTGTGGCGTAGCCTGACTTAGGTACATGGATATTGTTTACAATGCCAAGCCTTTAAATCTACAAAATGTGACCACAGGCTGAATATGAGCTATGATGAATAATCACGGAGTATCAATACACATACGACACTTGGACGACACCTGGTGTCTCAAATCAAGCCACATGTGGATGTGATGCTGAAAGCAAGTGTCAGCCATCTTGAATGTTATTATAATTTATATGTTTCTTTTCCATTGTCCCATAACGTTTTCAGTGTAATTTAAAGGTTGTGGTAATCAGAAAGGTTTAGATAGAACTGCTTGTTTTCTTAAAACTTAGGGGTCCAATGTTCACGTAAGTTCAAGAAGTTCTTATAAAGTTCCTTTAAATAAACTATATTATATCCTGAATCAAATCCTGGTCATACATTATCACCTGAAACCGAGCGATGTGTAAAATATTCTACTCGGGGAGATCGCTAATGACAACTTTGTGAATCAATTACTTTTTGAGAAAACGTTTCTGTGTGAAGCCCTCTTCAATAAGGAAACATACTTATAAGTGACACTGATATTAAATTTCCAAATATTAACATTGTCGAACATCAAGACTGTCAACAGCGTAAGGTCAATGTTATACATGCGAGGTCAAATTCATTAGTTATGTAAATCATACCGTAAGTAGTAGTAATACCAGTGTAATCGATTGTATGACATATGAAGCTGCTACCATTCTGTACATGTTGAGAATCTGAAGGAAAAAGCGTTATCGTCTTGAGATTGTCAAGTTGGACCACCTCAGGCTTGATGACAACAGCTCGGGAGCACCTGCCACTAGGTTTTGATAAGTTGGTAGATACTTGGTTGGGGTCTGCTACAACCCAGGATTTCTTCCCGTGAGCAATCATAGCTTCAAACTACAGTATACCACGTATAAACGATTGTTTTACTGTCCTTCGTCGGCAGGTTTTTATAATATTATTACATTTCAATGACAAATGTTCTCGTCACGATATGGCTGAAATATTGCCCGTGTGACGTTAAATCTTAACTCACTCACGCTTACAACGAACTGCGTAATATAACGAACTGGTTCCTTGGTGTCTACAACTTGGGATCTATTGTCGTCGAAATGCATAGAAGGAACTTCTGGTGTAGTTAACCAAACATATTGTCGTCTTGAGTTTGTTATAAACGTTGTCTACCACACCTAAGGATGGAGACCCATACAGCCAGGGTCATTAGCCTAAATGCTTTCCCTCAATATAACACAGACAGGTAACTTTAGATGTGTTGTTCCAGTATTTACTCGTGATAAAGGTTTTGCATACATTTGCATGTATTTTGATGACACGTGCTAAATGAAACTTGGTCGACAGTTTTCCAAGTGACAAAATTTCAGTAGGTTCCATATGTATCCTTTGTTCATTATTCAATCACTTTTGTAAATGAGCTACTGTCTCAAAAAACTAATTCAAACGTGTGGATCACAGATTGTTCGTGATTCAAAAATGAAGATTAACACAACCTAATGTACCCAATGTATAATTAAGCAGGTTGGGAAGCCAACCTGAGTGTATATAACAGTTACTGATACGTATTTCACGTTCTCTAAACTTGAATACAAACAGCTATATTAAGGAAAACTCTGTCAAATTGTATTTCTTTGTTCATGCAGGGAGACTCTATAAGGGGGAGTGGTCACTCCTCGGAAAGCTCCTAAGCTATGCCTCGGCTCGTCACGTGACCAGTGTAGCCAATATGGCGGAAGCGTAGTTTTTAAGATTGAGCCCGGTTTATTTTCAACAGCTGATTACATACGCTGAGTGTTGTGACAACTGAAAACCTACATGTAGAAGATAAGTTACCTATTCTGTCACTTCATTTCAAGTCAAATAATTGTTATTAGTGTCAGTATAAGTACAGTAGCTTTGTAGTAAAGTTTCAAGTGGGCATGTTGTAGCTCACTGGCTTCAATTCTCAGTACACAGCGAAGAAAGACTAAATTATATCGCTAAAAACTTCTTTCACATATTCGTTTAATTTTTAGAAGGGAAATATACCTTTAGTTGAAAGGTGTTTGCAAGTAATAGTGATAGTTTTATAACTAAAAAAAATTTGTTAGGGTGTATTTGAGGTGTGTGAAAAATATGACATATCGCCGATCTGCCATTGAAATACTACAGGGCGTTGTTTGAGTGTTTCTAGTTAGTGTTCAAAAACATCTTTCACATACACCTTCAATTTTTATGAGGGGAATATACCATCACGTGAAAGGTGTTTGCAAGTAATAGTGATAGTTTTATAATTTAAAAAAAATTGTTAGTGTGTATTTGAGGTGTGTGAAAAATATGACATATCGCCGATCTGCCATTGAAATACTACAGGGCGTTGTTTGAGTGTTTCTAGTTATTGTTCTAAAACATCTTTCACATACACCTTTAATTTTTATGAGGGGTATATACCATCAGGTGAAAGGTTTTTGCAAATAGTATTTGACAAAACTGGAAAGGTGTTTACAGCGCTTTGTGATAGTTCTAAACTTTCTGTTCTTGAGGGGTCTGTGACAGTGTCAGTTAACATTCTGTCAATGCCCATGTCATTCCACACATGCAATAAGATATCTGAATTAGTTACTAATGTAAAAACATGTCTCAAAGTAATTTTTTTTTTGAAAATGGACAGCTGATGTTAACATATGTGTTCTACCGATAGTTTTGTGTTCTTTAACATGTTTGGGGAGGGATGGCCTTGGTGTATCATTTATTCTTTCATTCATTCACATATGTTCTTTTTCTTTTGTTCTTTTTCTTAATTTCTTTCATTCATTCACATAAAATTCTTGCTCTTAATTCATTCATTCATTCATTGTAAAATTCCGACTGATACAATACACTGGCTGAAGTACTGTTAAACGCAGCCGAAGTTGCGCTGGGACCGAACCAAGTCACTGTGTGCGTTGGAGCATGACGAGGCACACGTTAATTAGTACAAATGGTAAAGAAAGCAAGCGAGTGACCTATCCCTGTTGTAGAGTATCCCTGGTTCATGCAGGTTTTCATTGAATCCTTATATTTTGCTGCAGCAAAACTTGTGAACTTACAGTTGTAACTCCTTTGTGTTGGCTTAAACCAAAAAGTGAATGCGCTGTTAGCACTCTTTATGCTTACGAAATCACATCTGTTACAGGTGATGCTTTAATCATTAACCATATTCAGTGTCTCCATAATGGGAGCCTGATATCGGCATATCTGCCATTTGTCTGACAACTGGAATGTCTGACATCTTAGCGTCTGACTGTGGACATACTTGACATCTGGTTGTCTGACTATCGCCATACCTTACAGCTTGGTGTCTGACATTATGATCTGTGTGTCTGACAATTGGCATGTCATAATTAATAGGTGACAATAAGCTGGCAACTTCGTGTCGGACTATGGGCATTTCAACATGCATTCTGTTCGGGGTAATACAAGTAACGTCATTCGTTGGTTTCACATTATGCATTACTTTTCAACTCGCTGTTCGCATGCACAGAGCGTGTGAAAACTATCCACTCACATACTTCCGGTTTGGTCGTATGTTTATTGATAGTGTAAACGCTCCAAAGAAAACAAAAAATCAAAACAAATATTAATTTTTTGTCGAATACAACTGATCCCAATTGATTTATGAAACAGAGGCCGGGATAAGTTGAATAAATAGCTTAAGTTATGTTAACAAGTTCTTGTATAAAGACATCTCACCTCCACCGTCCTTCCCGCACATCCCCTTCTCACAACTAAACAAACACATCTCTGATGGAATTGCAACCAAAATAGGACATCAATTATTGAAAAGCAGAGGCAAATGGAAGTACGTACTCAGCTATGAACAGTTGGCACAACGTAAATAATTTTCATAACAGCTTTTATTAAGGGTGCATTTACACTATGGATAAACATACGACCATACCGGAAGCATGCAGTGGATATTTTTCACACTCTCTGCGCATGCGCACAGCGAGTTGAAAAGTAATGTGAAACCAACGAATTGAAAACCCTGAAACACACCTTTTACGTGTGTCTTCGTTTTCCTTCCTGAAGTAACAACATCCGGGTCAAGTCTTACGTTGCAATGACGTGAAGATACAATTAAGTGTGCTGGGTTTCCTGGAACCATATCTTAATGCTGAATAGAGCTCGTGGTGATGAATGCAGCTTACGCACGACCATGGGTGTTGGTGCTGACAATTCACGATTGAGCAATGGTTTGTCTTCATTTACTTTTGCAGCCTTGTGGTAAACATGTTTCTTTTAGGGTTTGATTCCCTGTCACGGTACAGTGCATGAAGCCCATTTCAGGTGTTCCGCATCGTGGTTTTGGGTGAATATTGCTTAAAGCGCCGTAAACCTAAACTCTCTCTCTCTCTCTCTCTCTCTCTCTCTCTCTCTCTCTCTCTCTCTCTCTCTCTCTCTCTCTCTCTCTCTCTCTCTCTCTCTCTCTCTCTCTCTCTCTCTCTCTCTCTCTCTCTCTCTCTCTCTCTCTCTCACTCTCTCTCTCTCTCTCTCTCTCTCTCTCTCTCTCTCTCTCTCTCTCTCTCTCTCTCTCTCTCTCTCTCTCTCTCTCTCTCTCTCTCTCTCTCTCTCTCTCTCTCTCTCTCTCTCTCTCTCTCTCTCTCTACAGGGTTCGGTAGTATTTATATCATAAATTATATAAAAATATTAGAGCCGTGACTATTTAGTTACATTTTGTCAACCCGGGCTGACCCATCAGTATG